CCTTAAAAATGAATGAATACCTGGGATTAAAGACCTACGAGATAATTCATTTTTCTAATCCTGTTTAGAGGTAACTATTGAAATAAATGGATTTGCTGGTGGAGTCAAGAGGAAAATGTGAATATAGAAGGTCTCCCTGTACATTTACCTTTTGAGTTGTTGAGCTCTGAGGATCAGGTAATTAAATTCATGAGTCAGGGAAGAGATGAAAGTGGGTTATAGGAGTTGCCACCCTTCAAAAGCTTTAAAGTTGACATTTCTGTGCTACCTGGGTGAACGTGGCTGTGACTTTGTGTCCCCTTTGCCCATGTGCTAGTGTTGGTTCTCAGGTGAATGCACCAAGGAGCAGTTGTGATCTTTTTGTGCCATGAAATCATCCTCCATGGCTGTGCTTTTGTTGCAGGCTTGTTTTTGGGTGTTCTTAATGTATTAGTGAAATAATAAAGCTGTACAGTGCTCACCTGGGAGAAGGGAGATCTGGTCACCTGCTGAAGCTGCAGCTCCCTGCTGCTGGAAGCAGATGGATTAGTCCAGGGATTCTCCCAGTGCACCTAGAGAAATTTAATTTTTTTAGAAACAAATTAAAAATTTAAAGGAGGATGAGCCTTGTTGGGAAGTTTAGCATTCCCTCCCTCCTGGCACGATGTCCAGCAGTGTCTGCAGCTCTTGCAGCACGAGGTGTGAAGATAATTTGCAGCCTCCTCCTTTGAATTTCAGATAAGCTTCCAAAAGGCCAGGTGGAGGGGGATCTGTGCAGGAATAAGGAGCTGAGGAGAGCTCAGGGAAGGGCCAGGTGTCTGCCCCTCGTGAGGATATTCCCTGTGCCGCATCTGGTGCCAGCACAGCCTCTCTCCCCAGTGATGAGGTGTGACCGTGTTCACAGGGGTTCTTGGATGAGGGAAGAGATGGAGATCTGACTCCATGTTTCAGAAGGCTTGATTTATTATTTTAAATAATAAAATTTAAAATATATTATATATATTACATTAAAACTATACTAAAAGAATAGAAGCAAAGATTTTCACAGAAGGCTAGCTAAGAATAGAATAGAAAGGAATGATAACAAAGGTTTGTGTCTCAGACTCTCTGTCTGAGCCAGCTGACTGTGATTGGCCATTAATTATAAACAACCAACATGGACCAATCACAGATGCACCTGTTGCATCTCACAGCAGCAGATAATCATTGTTTACATTTTGTTCCTGAGGCCTCTCAGCTCCTCAGGAGGAAAACTCCTGAGGAAAGGATTTTTCATGAAAAGATGTCTGCGACAATGAGGGAGCGCTGCACTCAGGGCGGGCTGAGCTGTCAGGGAAGCTCTTGGGGAGCAGGAATTCCTCTGGGGCTTTGGTGGCACGTGGGGGAAGCTGTGAGCTGTGGTTCTGAGCAGCAGAGCCTCAATTAGGTTCCTCTGCACACGGGCTGTGTTCTGGTCCATCAAACCTAAAATGACAAAATCATTTGTAATCTCTCATTACCGGTCCCTGTGGGTTTGCCATCCACGCCTCCCCTGTGGCATTATTCAGCATCATATTATCCATTAAAAAAACTTGAATTTTTTTTATTAAATTCAATAACTTCTTGCTGTTGCCAACTATACTTAAAAAAATGAAGTTTTAGGAATTAGCTGAAATATTTGACTCAGAGATCCATAGGACAAAAGAATCAGGTCAGATCTGAAATATTGCTGCTAATGACTACGTAGCCTTCATTACTTACTTGTGCTTGATTGTAGTTTGCCATGAGTGGGTAATATGTGCTTTTACCCCTCTGATTCTCTCTCCCACCCCATGGGAGGCAAGGAAAAGGGCTGTGGGGTTAAACCATGACAGTGCAGCCAAAATTCCTCATCTACATTTCTTCCTAGACAGGAAGTGGTTTCTCACAGTAAGTAATCAGCTTGAAAATACATTGCAGAAGGCACCTAACTCTGTGCACAATTCTTTTTTTCTAAGTTATTTAGACATTGAGAGCGACTCTATTTGACTCTTGTGTATGCAAAAAAGGCACTAGCAGCAGTGAAATCTCCCTCTGTGATCCACGGAGCAGGCTTTGTGTTTCCTGCGGGAATTTGGAGTTTGCTGGGGTGACCAGCCACTCCCAGGGCTCACAGCACACCGACCCCATCCCGTGCTCACTGGAATTGGAATTGGAGAAGGGAAGAGATTTTTTTATTTTACACTGATGCAGTTTGTCTTATTGTCCCCATCAGGTCACCTTCCCTGGTGTTCCTGAGCCTGTGCCACGCAGCTCTTTGGCTTCTTGGTGCTGTTCTGAGCACATCCTTGGCTTTTTGGCAAAGCCTGAGCCCCCTCCAAAACAGGGACCCTCAGTCTGCCTGGCCAGCCTGCAGTGCTGGAATTCACTGTTTCATGTTTTAAAAGCCTGAAGCCTAAATCTGTAATCCAGGTGTTCTTCAGTCGTGCCTGCTCCTCTCTTTGATTTACCCCTTTTGTATAAAAATCTTTAGTATATTAAGTAAGTACTTGATCATTCTTTTTTTGTGCATAACGAGGAAGGTTTCTCAAAAGTTTTCTTCCCATGTGGCGCCTGTTAGTCACAGCTAATTACAGAGGTTGGTGAATGAGGAATATATCTGAGCTTAGGTTCCCCTCCTCCTCTTTCCACAGTGTCTCAGAAGAAAATAAAATAAAAATTCTGCAGACAAATCCAGTTTTTTTTTTTCCTGTGGTCGTGGTCTCCAAAGAGCTCCAGCGAAATCACAGATGTGGTTTCACATTTCAGCTTTAACTATGTTGTAATAACTACAGTCTTATCTGCAGGAGAAATGCAAGTGGGGAAAGAATCATTAATTGACAGTGAAAAGTTTGACCCCAGCTCTGTGTGTTTGTTTGTTTTAAGCAGCTGAATGTTTAGCCAAACCATATTTTAACTTCTGATATTTTAATCTCCATAGGTTAAAATGTTGTAGGAAGGGATATTTTAACTTCTGCCTGCAGCCCTGAAGGTTACAATAATCTCCATGGGTTAAAACCCAGGAATGTTATAGGAAGGGGAACTTAGATAGGTGTTTCAGGAAAGCAGAAATTCTTGTGGTTTGAAGCCAAGACGCAGCCTTCAATTTTAACCCAGCCTCACACAAACCTTGGTGGGACCTTGCTTTAAACACAGGAGGGTTTTTGGGTGTTTTGGTGGGTGCAGGGCAAGGCAGCTGTGAGAGGTGAAGCCTCTCCTGTGGCTGAGGAGCCCACGGCTCGCTTGAAATGTTTGGCTAACATCTAATTTTCCTGTCTTTTGTCAGTGTTCATTGAGGAAGTCTGCTGGCCTGAATGAGTTCCTGTGTGTGTGTGCAGTATGAGCATTATGCAGCAGGACTACATGGGATATGTCTATTATCTGTCACAAAGGCACCAGTGACCTTCCTGCCCCTATATTAGCAGTGCCTGCTGGTTTTCCATCCTGCCAGTTGTCAGGAATGCAGATCATCCCCAGAGCTGGGTACAGCCCTCATTGGTCAAACTGGTGTCTCAGCAAAACCAAATGCTTTCATTATAAAAAAAAATTAAAAGTTAGAGATGTCGTCTCAGCAGGACATTCCCACTCAAATGCATATTTGAGGCTGGAAAAATGAATAATTTAGAGGGCAGGGGAGGGAGATTACATAATGAAATTACACAGGACTCGAATGATCTCTGTTTTAACAGGTATGGCTATTTTCAAGGTTGGTTTATGGTTGTTCTTTGCTCCCAGATTTGTTTTCTGTTTTCAGAACTGCAGCACACAGGAGACTTCAGGAGTAGCCTGAACTTTCAGAAATATGGGCTAGGATAGGAGAATCCTACCTAGAACCTTCAGAAATATGGGCTAGGACAGGAAAATCCTACCCAGAACCTTCAGAAATATGACCAGGGCTAGGACAGGAGAATCCTACCTAGAAATCAAAGTTAAAAACTGTTGCCTGAGCTCTAGGAAACACACACACAGATGGAAACTCTTAAAATTAGTACAATACTAAGAAAGGTTATTGGTAACATATCTAAATAGTCCTGTATTTCGTCAGTGTGCTTGTTTGATAGGGAAAGGGTTTACTATGACAGACGTGTATCAAAATTATGTGTTGAAAAAGTTCTATGTTAAAAAACTACTAGAAAATGTGCTTTTCATTGCTGCATGCTTGGGTTGATGGATAAAGTGTCTCAGAACAACTCTGTGGTCCCCTGGAGAACACTGAGGCTGTCAGTTTTCCTTGAGAAATGCTAGATTTAATTGTTTAAATTTTATTAATATAATAAAATACTAAATTTTATTATTTAAATTATAATATATAAGTGAAAATATTTATAAGTAAAAAAAAAATTTTACTATTTCAATTATAAGATCCTTTTAAAAAGCCACGGTAAGGCTAAACATTGTGTGAATGTTTATTTCTTTTATTATTTTTATTGTTTTTCCTGTATGTCTAGGAGGCTCAGGGGTTCAAACCCCAGTTTTATGAGTGTTGTGGTAATAAAAGTGCTGAAAGGAGCAAGGTTGAGTTTAGTGAGATGCCACAGGGGCACAGGTGGTGCTGCCCCATCGAGCCTCTTGTTGAACTGCTGCCCTGTGTTCAGTTACTGATTTTACTGTTACTGACAAACTGATTTTTGCCTCCAAAAAAACGTTTGGGTTGTTTTGGTAGTTAGCATAGGGAAGGTTTTTTTATGTTTGAACATTCCCAAATTTTGATAAAAAGCTTGAGATTTAGACTTTGTTATTTTAGTGTTTTTCCCTTTCTCTATAGTGAGAAAATGCCCCCAGGGCTGAATGCACTCACAGTACAAAAACAACATCAGGCATTAATCTAAATTCAAATGTACATTTAATCATATGTATGTATGTATGTATTTAAATCAGTGTGTGTTAGAGGCATCCCCTGCAAAAAAGGCTGTCTGCAGGTAATCTCTGAAGCACAGAAATTGTTTTAATTCAGAAAAAAAATTGGTGAAGGGAAGAGATTTTTTTAATTTACACTGATGCAGTTTGTCTTATTTTCCCCAAAGGACACCGTGGTTTAATGGATGGGGCTTTAATCTACCCAGAGGTCAGTCTTTGCTAGACAAGTGGAACCTTATTCCTGAGGGAATTGATATACTAATGACACATGGACCTCCCCTTGGTAAGTGAAACAAAAGTTCTGTGTGATTTTATTTTTTGCGTGAGAATTTTACTGTCAAAGTGGATAATGCTGTAAGATATACTGTAATTGCACCCAGAGTAAAAACTGTGGATTGAAAAACTTTCTGAAAGAAGTGGAAAATTATGATTAGGCTTAGCTGATCTGTTGAGTTTCCATAAAAAAAACTTGAATTTTTTTTTATAAATTCAAGCTAGGGAAGATCAAATATCTGACACCATAACCATTATAGTATGACATTTTATTTAAGAGTAGTATTCATCTGACAACCAGTTTTCAATCCCTTATGACTTTTTAGAGATTGACTAAAACTTTTGAAACCTTTTCTCACTACAGTGTCATGTCATTTTAAGGTTTGAGAGCAGCAGTCAAGAGTTTGGAACTTTGCAGTCACACATTCTCCTTGATAATGCCCTTGTAAACTTTGAATATGTAAGAATAGTTTTAAAGGTATTAATTGGCTCATAAAAAATTTGTGAAGGAATAAAATTATGTTCTTAGATAATTGTTCCTAACTTGATTTAATGACAGGTGAGCACCAGCCACTGAATGCATAATTTGTTTCTTCATTAGGCAGCTAAAGTTTCTCATTTAGTTGAGTTTTGCTTTTCTTCTTGGTGTGAGTCATTGGCTGAGCTCAGGTTTAAGATTTAAACTAAGCCCTGCTGGGTTTACAGCAACTGAGACTCATACAAATGTCACTTAGCAGATCACCATGAGGAAGTGTGGCAGTGGCTTCATTGCCCTTACTGTAAGAAGAGTGATTTTTGTCGAGGTTTTAGGGTTTTTGTCAGGGTTTTAGGATTTTTGTCAGGGTTTTAGGAAGTTCTTGTAACCCAAGGGGTCACACAATCACAGGAAGTGGCCAAATCACAGTCACTTACTACATTTGTGGTAGTGAATATGTAAAATCTTCTCACAATTGCATTTTAATAAAATAAACCAGCATTTTAAATCCTTCCAGGCTGGCTCAGTGTTCTTTTGGAGCTTCTTGATGACTGTGGATTCAGGAATTAATGCATGCTTAAAAAACCACTTAGTTGTGTTTTTTGACCACAGTTAAGTTAAGAGTCAGCAATCCAAGCTAAGGGGAAAAAAAGAAAACTCCACAAAAAGTTTTTGACCAATGTACTTACTGCTCCTTTTATATTCTGGTTAGTTTTTTAATGCTACTTGGAGAATGTTGTAAGAAGATCAGCAAATTCCCTTTAACCTTGCTGAAGCTGCCAGTGGCTGCAAACCAGGGCCTTGAACAGCACTCTCTTAATCACTTCATTTTCCCAAAGAAGCAAAAACAAAACCCAAAACCCAAGTGTGTTTATAATGTTTCATGGGTGCTGTTTTACATGGGTTGCTCATCCACCTGCTCTGAGCTGTGTCCATACAGAAATACTGTGGTGCTGCAGACACCAATGAGTGCTGTCATTGAACAAGCCTGCTTAAATTTTGTGTTTGAAGGAGATAATGAAGCTCAGTTTCAAAAGGCTGGCACTGTGTCTTAACCACAGACACAGATTTGGTGTCAGTACTGCCCCTAAAATGAGGGACTCTAGGACTCAGCCTGCATGATAACATTGATAAAATACTGATTTTTAAATAAGTGTTTACTTATTAATGCTAAGTGAATATTAAGGGAGATAGAGCTGTAACTGGACTCCTTGGTCACTCTAAAATTTAGCCAAGCTCATGTTTTTACCAAAGTCAGTAGAATGGTGCTGCAGCTGGACGTGGCTCTTGATTTCCCTTTCATTGCTCCTCATTCCCTTTCCCTGCTGATGTTTTCCATGCCAGTCCAGGCAGCAGGCTCCTGCAGGGACTCATGGCCGCTTTTTACATTTTTCTGTAAAATCTTTTTACATTTTTCTGTACTGTCCAGAAGACCAAGTGGCAGCGTGGTCTGTGGCGGTGTTCACAGGGGTTCTTGGATGAGGGAAGAGATGAGGATCTGACTCCATGTTTCAGAAGGCTTGATTTATTATTTTATGATATATATTACATTAAAACCATACTAAAAGAATAGAAGAAAGGATTTCATCAGAAGGCTGGCTAAGAATAGAATCGAAAGGAATGATAAAAAAGGTTTGGGGCTCGGCTCTCTGTCCGAGCCAGCTGGGCTGTGATTGGCCATTAATTACAAATATCTAACATGGGCCAATCAAAGATCCACCTATTGCAGCAGATAATCAATGTTTACATTTTTTTCCTGAGGCCTCTCAGCTTCTCAGGAGGAAAAATCCTAAGGACAGGATTTTTCATAAAAGATGTCTGCGACAGTGGTCAATTAGCACTGGTTTGTTGGGAGCTGCTTTGCAATTTTTGCACAGTGGTGAGGGCTCAGAAGTGGCCTGATGGCTGCAGACCACATCCTCCAGAAGCTGTGGGAATCTGTATTTTAAATCTTTGGGATTGAGAGGTGGCTCAGCTCATCTTCCTGAGCTGTGACGGTGTTCACAGGGGTTTTCAGGTGAGGGAAGAGATGAAAATGTTGACTCTCTGTTCAGAAGGCTTGATTTATTATTTTATGATATACATTACATTAAAACTATACTAAAAAGAATAGAAGAAAAGTTTTATCTCAGAAGGCTAGCTAAGCTAAGAAAAGAATAGAAAAGTGATAACAAAAAGGCAGCTGTTTCGGACTCTGTCCGAGACAGCTGGGCCTTGATGAGCCATTAATTATAAACATCTAACATGGGCCAATCAAAAATCCACCTGATGCATTCTACAGCAGCAGACAATCCTTGTTTACATTTTGTCCCTGAAGCCTCTCAGCTTCTCAAGAAGAAAAAATCTTAAGAGAAAGATTTTACATGAAAAGATGTCTGCGACGCTGAGCTGTTTCATTTCTGGAGTAACCACGGAGCTGAATGCTGTCAGAGCCAGGGGAAAGGGAAGAAAAATCTGCAGCAGTGCCAGGAAAAATCTACAGCAGTGCCCGGGGTTTCAAGGTGGAAGAAACCTATAGTTCAAAAAAAAAACAACAAATCACATCCAGGAAAACCATTAATGCAGATGGAGGGAGGAAATCTTAAGGAAGGCAAAGTGACAGTGAAAAACATTTCTTAAAAGCCATTGTGTGCTTTAATGGAGAGGTTATGACTGGAGATAATGGAATAAACCCTGTGTGAATGATGACTTCCTGAAAGAATAGGTGAAACCTCACCTGAATAGGGGAAATTAATGCACTGATTGCTTTTTGCCTCCAGGTTTCCGAGACTGGGTTCCCAAGGAGCTGCAGAGAGTGGGCTGTGTGGAGCTGCTGAACACAGTGCAGAGGAGAGTCAGGCCCAAGCTGCATGTCTTTGGTGGGATTCATGAAGGTAAGCAGCAGAGCTGTTCCCAGCTCCCATTTCCAGAGGCACATTTTGATGGTGTATTGCAGTGGGTAATGGCAGATTGCATTAAAGTAAAGGAGGGAGTTCAGGGAAGTGATTGCCTGCGTGGCACTTTGTGAATTTATTCCAGAATTAAAGCAGACTCTTTCAGGAATGTGTGCTACATTTAGCCACCTACATCTTTCACCGTGCTGCAAAGGTTGTTCCATGCAGGTTATTTGAAAGCAATTCAAGTTTTGACAAACTCTGCTGGAGAAACAGATGAGATTCCCCACACTTGCGAGCCAAAATGAAAATTATCCCCGTTACTCCCAGCACAGGAGCTAAGAAAGATGCTGGAGGAGAAAAAGGAAATGTGCAGGCAACTTGCTGCCTCTCCTCACCTCCCTCAGGGTATGAGGGGAAGCAGAAAGGAGGGCATGTGGAGTCAGGCATCAGTGCCATGTTTTAGGGGAGATATTCCCCCTCTGTGGTTGCCAGCACAGGCGGTGTGAGCAGTGTGTCAGCCTCAGGAACAACCAGCTCAGTTTGTGGCACTGAGAGATTAAATACATTCTGGAGATACTTAAATATTTAATACAATTTTGTGGCTTTCATGTGGCTGAGAGACAAACACTAGGAGTTCTGCCTGAGAGAGAGTGTGAGACCTCATGACCCCAGAACTCAAAATTACACATTAAATGTTTTATATTCTCCCCCTGGAGGTTTCTCCATTGTCTCTAACTAGGTTCTCCATAGGCCTAAAGATTTCAGGACTTCATAAAAGCAAAATAAAAAGAGGACAGCTCTCTCTGCCAGTGGTGTTGGTTTTTCTGAAGCCCTTGTGACTACATGAAATGATTTCCATGCCTGGCATCTGTAAATAAAGAGTTTGTACTGGGAATACTGACATGACCCTCTGCACAGAGGCATAAATAACAGTCCTTTAATGCGCCCATTAAAAAGATTGAGTATTTTGTACAAATATTAGTCCTCACATATTAAAAATAAATGAACATGGCAAGACTCTCAGCTGAAATGTGTAAATTGTAAATTTGGGTGGTGAAACTTGTGGTTGTAATAGAGCTAAGGGTGTCTGAATGTACAGGACCATCATATGAGAAAGCAGCATGTTTAAGTCTCCTGGGAAAGGTGGCAGGACATATTAAAAGCGAGCATTCAAATAAATTCTTGTAAAGATACCAGCAAAAATTTAAAATAATTTCTAGTACTTACACAGAATAACATAAGAATGGCTTGCTTCAGTACAGGAAGAAATAGCAAAGTGTTAAGAGCATTATCTCAGGGTGCAATTAACTTCTATCCAGCCTCAGCTGAGATAAATATGCACCACATTACCTTGAACCAACAGAGGCCATACACACATTTTGGTGATGCAGGTTTTCTCCCCTGTTTGATAAGCAAAACAACCACAAACAAGGTTTTTCCCACCATGAGATGATCTAAATCAAAATTGCCAGTCTAAATAAATAAAGTGATACAGGTGGACAGGGAAGCAATTCTGAAGTGATTATTCTTTCTGATAGGCACTGTGGGTAGCTGTATTTATCTGAGCTTTCAGACAGCAGTGATCTGTACTCTATCATAATGGTTTGAAAGAAAAAAAACCTTTTTCCTCTGTGGGTTTGCAATGGGAAGCTTTCTTCCTCCATGGTACTCTGGGGTGTTTTTTCCAATTATTTTTTTTTAAGTGCATTTGGGCCAAATACTTCCTGGATGTTTTCAAGCTTCTTTGTTAGCTTTTTGTAGACGTCAGCTGAAAACACACACACACTTTTATAAAATTCTTTTGAAATACATGTATAAATTAAATAATGGAGCCATAGAGCAGTTTAGATTGGAAGGGACTTTAGGATCATCTCATTCCAAGCCCTCTACCATGGACAGGGATGCTTTCTATTATCCCAGGTTGCTCTGAGCCCTGTCCAGCCTGACTTTGAACACTTTGGGGTTGGGGCTGACACAGCTTCTCTGTGGGGCAGCATGAGGGTGTGAAAGTTTGTGTTCTTAACCTGCTGAGGAGCTCCTCAGGTCTCAGAAGCTGATGCCTCAGGTTTCGGCTTTTCTATTTTCCACATTCTGTGCTGCTTTAGTGTGTGGGTCTGAGCTTCACATTCAGGGATGGTGAGCTCTGTGCACAGAGCAGGGAGACAAAACAATTCCTGCTCCAGCTGGGCACCAAGGACAAATGATCCCAATCTCAGCCCCAGAGCACAAACACCGTGGGCTGCAGAGAGAAAAACAAGCAGGGTGGGACTGCCTGGGCTAAAGCTGGAATGGGACAATGAACTGCAAGGTGCAAATGGAGCAGAACTGATCCCAGGGAGAGAGCCCGGGAGCGCTCGTGCATTTTGGGGCCATTTTGGTTCATCTTGGGTGCAGCCCTGGCTGGGCTCTGGTGCTGCCCAAGGTGGATGCATGGAGGAGATGCTTTGAATCAATCCCTGCTTTATTCTGTAGCTCTGTCCAGCCCCTGCTCCAGGGCAGCCTGCCCAAGGCAGTGTGAGCAGCAGCTGGGCAGTGCTGGGATGAGGAGCAGGGTGAAAAGGGCCAGCACAGGGGAGGTGACAGAGTTCAGGTTTGTTGGAGAGCAGGTGTTGAGGTCAAACCAAAGTTACTTTAAAATCTTTTCCTTCTGAATGGTCTTTTTCTTCTGACAGGCATGCAAGCTATAATTCACTAATTAAGTAATTAGAAAAAGGACATGTGTGGTTTGTGTTTCTGCCACACCCCGTTGCAAGAGAGGATATTCCAGGGGTAAAAAAAGGTTTGTACATAAACCAAAAGCGCCTGTTCTTATCTCAAACACAGCCCACTGGGTTTTTACAGTCGAGTCTTTGTGGCAGAGGTACCAGCAGGGGCTGGTGTCATTTTGAAGGGGTCAGCTTGGTTTTATTGCACAGCAGGGATGCCCCAGCAGCCTTGGGGTGTCCGTGTGTCCCTGGCAGTTGATGCCTTGTGCAGGCTGCCCCAGCGCAGGGGCTGGACAGAGCTACAGAATAAAGCAGGGATTGATTCAAAGCATCTCCTCCATGGATCCACCTTGGGCAGCACCAGAGCCCAGCCAGGGCTGCACCCAAGATGACCCAAAATGGCCCCAAAATGCACGAGCGCTCCCGGGCTCTCTGCCTGGGATCAGTTCTGCTCCATTTGCACCTTGCAGTTCATTGTCCCATTCCAGCTTTAGCCCAGGCAGTCCCACCCTGCTTGTTTTTCTCTCTGCAGCCCACGGTGTTTGTGCTCTGGGGCTGAGATTGGGATCATTTGTCCTTGGTGCCCAGCTGGAGCAGGAATTGTTTTGTCTCCCTGCTCTGTGCACAGAGCTCAGCATCCCTGAATGTGAAGCCCAGACCAACACACTAAAGCAGCACAGAATGGGAAAAATAGAAAAGCTGAACCCTGAGGCATCCCAGTGAGTGTGTCCCTTGTCCCCACAGGTTATGGCATCATGACAGATGGCTACACCACCTACATCAACGCCTCCACGTGCACAGTCAGCTTCCAGCCCACCAACCCTCCCATCATCTTCGACCTTCCCACCCCTCAAGGATCCTGAAGCACTACTGGGGAAGGTCTATAAACTGCCATTTTCTAATTAAAAACTTACATTCATGTTTATTTCAAAATAGGGGCTAGGGGGGATTTTGGGGGAGCCGTGGGGGGTTTTGTTTTGGGGTGGGGTTTGGGATTTTTTTGTTTTGTTTTGTTTTTTTTTATTTGTAAATTGCTGGTGCAAAAGAAACAGGAAGAGAAGTTAGAGGTTGTGCTTTTTGGAAATGCAGCATTCATTTTAAATTGATAAAGCATTGTGAATTTGTACAATGAATTTTGTTTTTCAATAAATTTGCCATTGTAAATTGTTATAGTGTTCTCAAAAGGACAGCCAAGCTTTCTTTTAATAAGTGAGAGACCTTATTTTAATATTATATTATAAGCTAAAAAATAGGCAGCATTTAAATACACCCAAATTTGCACAACTTTTGTTATTGTCGGGGTTTTTTTAAGTGTCTTCTTTTTCCCTCGGTTTAAATGTCAGCTTTTTATCTCAATTTATATCAATTTTTTTAGTAGCACAAACAGTGTTTTGGGGTCCATTTGCCTCTTGACATGTGTGCATGTACTTTAACTTGTTTCTATTCATGGTAGAATGCAGCAAGGGGAGAATAGACTTCTCAGTTGTTTGTCTCTACTTGCTTTATAAAGACTGATCTTGATAGCCACAGCCTGTATGTGATATCTACCTTCTGTTGTTTCTTTTTTTAAATTATTTTAGCTTTAAAAGACTGGGGGTGAAAGCTGCAAAGAGCAGGTATTTCATGCAGTAAAAAAAAAAAGAAAAAAAAATTGTAAATGCGGACTCCTTTTAAATATGAATTTATATATATATGTATTTTTTGTGCATTATAACTAAGCTAGGATTTAATATTGCCAGTATAGCATCTGCAAAATTATGCTGTACAGCACATCTAAATTATGAAGGATGTGACATGTTTTTCCAAGTGCTCAAGGCCTTCAAGAGCCCGAGTTAAATCTTTGTTGTAGTTCTGGCATGTATAGAGTCAAATGGATACAATCAAGCCTAAATAAAATAAGGCTTAGTTGTCCTTTATATTTAAATATTCTTCTTGTCTTTTTTATTTCCTTTTTCTTATTTTGCACTGTGTGTAAATGCAATCTCACTAGCACAAAATATTGTTGCAGATAGTTATTTCTGTTCCACCACTGTAAATGCTATTGAGCTTCGTTCTGTTTTATGTTACCTTGTTAATGGAATTTAGAAAAGCAGTTGTTTCTTTAAAATTATTGTGATATTATATCTAGCGGCCTTTATATGCAAATAAAATTGCAAGATTTTTAAATACGTGGTTCAGGGGAATTCTGTGGTTGTTTTTGTGGCTTGAACAATTTTGAGGAGTGATGATAAAGGTAAGAAGTTTTCTGTTTCTCAACACATTTATATTGCAGCCCATTCATCAGATGCCAGCTGGCTCAGTGGAGCACTCAGAGTTTCCATTCTGTTTCTGTGCCCTCCATCTCTCATTCCTTTTGAGATTTGCAGTTGTTTCTTTAAATTTATTGTGATATTACATCTAGCGGCCTTTATATGCAAATAAAATTGCAAGATTTTTAAATACGTGGTTCAGGGGAATTCTGTGGTTGTTTTTGTGGCATGGATGATTTTGGGGAGTGATGATAAAGGTAAGTAAGAAATTTTCTATTTCTCAACACATTTATATTGAATATATTTGTATTCATCAGATGCCAGCTGGCTCAGCGGAGCACTCAGAGTTTCCCTTGTTTCTGTGCCATCCATCTCTCATTCCTTTTAGGCAGAAGAGATTTTGTCTTTAGGGGTTGTGTGACCAAGTTTAAGCCTTGTGAGACCCTCTTCCAGGTGACACCAGGAAGAATTGATCAGGCAATAACCTTTTTGCTGCCTCACTTGGTCATTGGCACTGAGCTGCAGGTGTCTCATGCTCTCACCCACTCTGGGTTAAAAAATTAATAGTCAGTATCTGAAATACATCAGTTTTTCTGTGGATCTCCTGTCAGTTTTGTGGCTGCAGCAGGATCCAGCACTGGCAGGGCAGGGGGATGACAAACACTGCAGGAGCTGCTGGTGATGCTGCATGCAGGCATCTAGATAATAACAGAGTCTTCTTCCAAACCAGGAGCTATGGCTGCAAAAATCTGCTTTTAGACATGAGAAAATAAGGTGCTGTTTGCATGAATCTGCATCCTCAGTAACAGCAACACCTGGAGAGAGACAGAGCATCCCCATTCATCTTAACAGGTTGGTGGCTTTGGACATGATTTTGATACAAAGGTTAGAAAAATTAGACAAACAAAATAGACAAAACAAATCCAAGGCTCTTACAGCAGAGTACAACTTAGAGGGCCACTGTCTGTATTTTGATGCAACATGCATGTCACAGATCTTGGCCAAAATCTTCAGATTTATAAGGCTGCCATACCAAAGTCTTTTTTGGGGAAGAAGCTGCTGTATCTCTTAAATCTAGTTCTTGTTCTGTATGTGGAATTCCTTGTCAGGTTTCCTTAGGAAATAGACAAGATATATATATATAGATATAGATATAGATATAGATATAGATATAGATATAGATATAGATATAGATATCCTTAATGATATCTGCCTCACTTTGTTTGCAGTGCTGCTTGTTTTATCAACTGAGCCAGAGGAAGAAAGGTTACCAAATATTAGTCCTTACTTTTGGGTGTAGATGCAGGGTCTGTCTTGTGGGGGTTTTTTTAATCTAGCAGTGAGAACACAAGGAAATTGGTTTTGACAACCACAGCTGTCTGCTGGCAAAGAGCTTTTGAGATGGCTGTCCTTGGAAGAAAAGCAATTTCTGGAGCACATAGAAATCATGTGTAGCACACCTTGGATTATTCTGTTTCACTGATCTCTTGCTTCTTGTCACTGCATAAGAAGGGAGTCCCACAGCCTCAGATGCTCTGTAGATGAATTTTCAGGTGAGCAGAGAATAACCACTGCTGCTCCCCAGCCTTCTGGAAAGCCTGGCACCTCTTCATTAGCTACAGCAGGAGGCCCATAGCACCAGGCTGTCGTGTCTCTGCCTCTTCACAGAAACTGGGTTATTGCAAGAGCAACAATCCCAAGCCAGCAGCTTTGTTCCAGCATTTGAGCAGACTTCTGGCAGCAAAAGGAGTGGAAGCTCATCCAGGAGTGTGCCTTGGGTGAGACTGGTGGTGAGGACAGACCAGAAGCTGTGAGGGAGCAGATCTTTGGGATAACCTCTAAGCTGTAGCCATGGCTGTCCTAAAGGGGTGAGTCTTGGCTTCAGCTCTTTGCCACGTGTTTTTTTGGCTTTGTGGTGTGTTACTGAGGGGTTCTGCACTGCCATACAAGGGCCTGGATTTGTCCCAGCAGGCTGAGGCTTCCTTCTGCCATTTAGACACATCAAGGACAGTCACTGCTGTGTCATCAGTTGGTGCTGGTGCTAAATGCAGCTGTTAATTTACAGAGGTTTAGTCTTCAGGGGTACTTCCTAACCCTCTGTTTCCTCCTGGTATTTTTTCTCTTGGGCTCTGTCAGCCTCACCTTGCTGGTGGTTCAGCACTGAGCTCGTTCTCCTCCATGCCAGGGTATTTTAAATTTTACTCCCTCAGTTTTCTTTAGTCCTTTCAGGAATTGATCTAGTTTTCCTCTTCTGAGGAAGCTCTCATTTTGGCTAGCATCAATTACAAAAAAGGCCAGGAAAATATTACCACTTTGGCTTTTTTTCCTTGTTGTGCTCCTTGGAGATTTTGAAATGTCTCTAGGTGTCTATGTGTGCTGTCACAGGCACGTAATTCTCCTTTGCTGGATGTCAGCCATATCTGACAATCAGGGTGACTGGGACACAGCCTGGCTTGTAGAAGTTTGATTTCACAGGGAGGCAAAAGTGTGTGATGAATCTGCTTCTTTTCAAGGATCTTTCACTGCTGAAAGTAGCTTGATGCATGCATGCAGAACAAACCTTGAGTAATAAGTCTTTCTTTAGGGTCTAGTCCAAGCCCAGTGAACTCACCAGGAGTCTTTCTATTGACTTCAGCTGGCTCTGCATCAGACACCTGCCATCTCTCTGGACTCTGCTGCTGCCTATTACTCATCCTTCCAGCTGGAGGAGATGGTGCTTGGTTAAGATGCAGGAATCTCTGGGTGGGAGGAGAGTCCTACCTATTGTAAGTGCTGAACCTCCCAGGTGATTGATTAACAGCAGAGCAGTCGATTAACCTTTCCTCCTGTGAGAGCAGCTCCCATCTCCTCATCTCCACGAGGCTGAGAGCAGTCAAGGCCTTCAGCAGGGGAGGGCTGAGGAGCAGGATGCTCCCCAGAGGTGACTGCTTCCCAATTCTCCCTGCATAGTGGATTTAGTGAATTCAGCAGACCTTGGGGTCAAGCATTTATTAGGCTAAGAGACTGTCAAATCAATCTGCTCTACTCCAGGCAAGTTCTACCAGGAGGGTGGGTTTTGCCAAGACTCTGTCTCAGCTATAGATTGATGACTGGCTCCTGGTTGAGGCTGCCTTTCTCTTTTCCATTTTCTGTGGATCAGAGTTTTTCCCCTCACTGACACCGATATTTTATCCTTAGACAAATTTCATTAAGGAAACTCTTGGAAACTATATGGAATTTAAGTCACAGGGAATGACCTAAAGTCCAAACTCTGTAGTCCTTCCATTTTGTGTTATATTGACCCCAGGGCCTTTCTTGAGAGCTTGTTTTTTGACTACAGGTATTTGAATTATATTTCTGGAATTTTCTTTTTACCCCATCTCTCCCTCACCCTCCCATGTCTTTTTTTCAACTTAATATTCTCTAGCAGTTACAGGCAGGCAGGGATTCTGATTTTTCTCCGCCTAACATCACAGCTTCTTAATGGAAAGAGAAATGCATTGTAAAAGTAGCTGTATTTCCTTCCCTTCATACCAATCCTAACTTCCTTGCAGGTTCCTCATTTGCTGTGACCAGGCTGCTGAGCACCATCACCAGCTAACTTACCTGAGCTACCCAAATGAAATTGTGTGTGTGATCAGGCTTGGCCAGGGATGTCAGCAGCCAGAGCACAGCCCTGTGGGCAGGTTCCAGCTGCCAGAGCTCTGCAGAA